GGGGGGGGTGTTGTATAGTAGTAGTTTCATTGTATAGTGACCAAGACAATGGAATAGCTTAAATTAGGGGCCAGTGTTTTACACGGATAAATGTAGACATTAAGTTGTTAGTGTCACTATCCAACCTTTATGTTAACTGTACTCATTCTGTACAATGTGCGGAGAATTGTTCATGCCCCAAATTCACCTCAGAATGCATGTGCAGGATAAAGCATTTCCAGTAGACTAGCACCAAAAAAATAACCGCTAACTTCCATTCTGATCAGTTTGGAATGTTAGTTCTGTATCCACTCAAACTTGGTAGCGCTTTGAATTGTCTGCTTAATAGATTTGTATTTTGATCAATGGTAATTATGCCTTGCATTCTGAAATCCACTTTTTTTTTTGTTTTCTCTTTGCTACTCCTTTTCTCTGTTTTAGCATCAGGTATGTGGTGTGACTTTTCTTTCTGTTATTGCTGTGCAAACTATAAATTACTAACCTATAACTTAGATCTGTGCAGCAAAGAGTTTGTATCATCCGTATATAGGACTCATGATTCCTGCATTGCTAATCTCTAGACTCCAATTAAGCATTACAATCCTATAGATTTGTATATCATTCTACTGGACATAGGAACATTTCTCCAGCCGCCTCCCACACCAACTATTTGGGTTTTTTATGGTGAACATTTGTCATAAGTATTATATTGGGACAGGTATCGCTACCTCCCCATTTTGGAGCCAATACGGACTAAATCTGAATTGAAATTAAGACCGATTTCTTACACTGATGCCAGTCTGTTTGCCGTTGATATAGCCTGGCTTGCATTGTGTTAAAACTTTTTCAGTGTTGAGAACAATGGTGGTTAACCTATTAGTGTGTTGAAAATTACTAAGCAACAAGCAATGCTGTAGTTCTACACACTTGTTGGATTTATTGAACCACCTTCCATACTTGTTAAAACATGATTTGAACCAGGTGAGGGTGCATTCATGCACGGGGCTTCATTGTATCATGCCAAAAAAACAAAACAAGGCCTTCTGGCTGTTCAGACTTTATATTTAGGGCAATTATTTACACTGAGATTGACCTGTGCTCTAAACTTGAAGCACGGGAATTGGGTAAATCTCATACAAAATTAATAGGCAAACTGATGACATTAACAATGACCCTGGAGCTTAAATTAAGACTCCTAAACGTACGCTTCTCAGTAACTTTACCTGTAATTAACCAATGGCTTTTTTTTTTTTTTTTCCTCTGCTGTATTAAGATTTTTCATAATGTGCATTCTCCTAGTAGTGTGTGTCACTGCAATTGATCTCTCCCCCTAAATGGGGTGGGGGGACTTGTGGAGATACAAATGCAAGAGCTGCTACTGCTGATTTGGCTTCTAATAGTCTAACCTTCAGGGTGCTCATTCATATCTGTGCTTCATTACCTGAGTAGTCAATGATCTGGACAAGTATGCAGCCAGTAAAACCAAAGGTCTTAACCCGTCCCCCATACTTGTTCCAGGTCTGTGACCGTGCAGTATGACTAAAGTCTAACCAGGGTTAAATGGCCTCTTCTGTATTTCCTTACATATGGACAAATCCAGTACAAAAGGGTATATTACAGCTGTACGTGTAGCCCCAGCTGACTAGGTTTTATGCAACGCCAGTGATAATCATTGAAGTTATTCAGAGCTCTGTCATGTTACATAGTTACATAGTATTTGAGGTTGAATAAAGACATTAGTCCATCAAGTCCAACCTATTAGGATCTCATTCTAGGAGTACCCGTACCCCTGTATATTACGGTCCCTTAAGAAATCGTCCAAAAGTTTCTTGACCAATTCCACATTCTTTGCTGAAATCACCGCCTGTGGCAGTGAGTTCTAGACCCTAACTGATCTTACTGTGAAGAACCCCCTTCGCCCCTTGTGCTGGAATTTTTTTTCCACCAATTTTAGGTGTGTGGCGAGGGCACTAGACTTGTATTAAAAAAAAAAAAAAAAAAAAAAACCTTTTGATTTTGTGTTTTTAGTTTGTTAAACTAACATGCTGACGTGAGAATCTCGCCCTGTTCTTTAACTATATGCCCTGTCCCGTGATTGCATTCTAAAATAAAAATAAATAATTTTTTTTTTACCTGGACTAAATGTTTCTTTCAGCCAGCAAAGGACCTATGTTGTGCCGCCGGTCTGTGTTCACAAAAAGCTTCCCCTCTACAGGACCTGATCCCTGCCAAAGTAATTGTTCCAGCAATGAAACTGCAGCCAGCCATAAAAGTAAGTAACCGTTACCTTTTCTATGAGTGAGCTATACTAGAGTAAAACTACATGAGTCTACTGCTAAATTTCAGTATTAAAAATGTGGTAGTCAATAAATTGCGTATAAGGCCTTGGGTAGACTATTGGGTGGCAGTTTATCCATTGTGTGTGTTCCTACCAGTGTCATTTAGTTAAGGGAGAACTGCACCACAGTTAAACCTATACCTTGTAAATTGCTACACAAGCCCTATTGTAACTTAATAATAAAGCGGAAGAAAAAAAAATTCTGGGAGCTATGGATTGCACACATGGTGTACACACTGCCTGGATTCAGGTTTCTAGGAATCCATCCTGGAAGTACCAACAGCAGAGATGAGAATAGATTTGAGGGCACACTTGTAACAAGTGTGCACATATACTGTGTGTGTGCTTTCACATTAGGCCTAAAAAAGACCTTTTTCAAAGCAGTTTACTTCCACTTTCAAAATGACCTTTGCCCTGCAATCTGTAGTCACTGCATTCAAAGTCATTACAATATGGCAACCTGGAGACATTACATATATACTATTGGGGTAGGAATCCTCCCTGTAATTTCTGCACTAAAATTTAAGTACATTTTTAGTCATCCCTTGCAGTGTTTTTTGGGAGATGCTAAGGCATACAGACGCTGCAAGTTTCATCATTATAACGCCAAACATGCACTAGGTGGTTATAATGAGCATGGGCACTCCCATTCTGGAAACGACATGGTGAAACTGCTAGTTCTTCAGAGCAGAAACTAGTAGGAATCTGCAACAAACGTTTACTAAAATCCTTGTATGTAAGCTGATCAGCCAGAGGGGATTTGTTTTACCAATGAAAGTGGCGTTGCACTTTAGGCAATTGTCAGTCCTGGAATTGTAAATTGTCTAATATAGAGAGTAAGCCCTCAGGAGCACGCCCCTCCTTACCATCTTGTCTTGAATTTATAATGTCTTCCTTATATTGTGAAGTGCTGCACAAACTGTTGGTGCTTTATAAATCCTGTATAATTAATATATTACAATTTTTAACACATCCAAAGCGTGTGGTGTTTTTGGTTTGGGGGTGTTTTGTGTTTTTTGGGAGACTAAACCGATTTTTGTCTTTTTAGATGGAACCTAAAACCCCTGAGGACCATCTTCCCATCTGTGAATTATGTGAAATGGTGGTGGAGAATGTAGAGAAGTTCTTGGATGATAACCGGACACGGGTGTGTATAAAACCTGCATGTTGAGTATCTGATGTTTTGTACAAGACCAAGTCTTGTTTAGATCTGCTGATGGTCTTATGTTTATTTATTTTATTGTTTCTCCCAATAGGTGAACATTAAGTCGGCTCTGGAAAAAGTCTGTGGTATTTTGCCCTCCCAATATCGCAGTAAATGTAAAGACTTTGTTGACACGTATAGTGATTTGATCATCACATTGATGGAAGAGGAAGGAAATCCAAAATTAATTTGCATGCTCATGGGGTGTTGCAGTGCCAGAGCACCACAAATTGGTGAGTGGTTAAAAAAAAAGTAACTCTTTCCTTGCAAGAGCTATTTTTCTTCCACACGTGAAAATGTATATTTTTAGCCTGAAAGTTGCTTATATCCCAAAGCAGATTTTCTGAAAGGAGGACCCGGGGGTACTTTAAAATTATATGTGCCAAAGTTTGTGGGGTGTTTTGGGTTCTGTCTTTTACCCCTCTGTAAAATATAAAGGATAAGATGATGCTGAGTAAATATCAGAAGGGGTACCCCACTGCAGGGTAGTTTGCCCAGAATTCAAGCCCCAATATCTCAAATTGGATGTAAAGCCAAAACTATTCTATTTTTTGGACAGAGTAGAAAATGGTTAATGCACTGTCGGGTTTACTTTTTGCAATCTGTCCCCATTAGGAAGGTTTCAATCTTTCTGACCTGTAGGGAAATCCCCCTCAGGCAGTTGTCACTGGAACAAGTGTCCTCATTGAAAGGTTTCTTCAATTCTGGTTAACTAATTTTTTTAATACACTTGTATATCTCCAACAATTTACACAGCACTTTACATACTGCGCATTTACATCAGCCCCTGCCATCAGGAAGCTTACAATCTAAGGTCCCCATCTCGCATGCATACAAAGGCCAGTTTAGACAGGAGCCAGTTAACTTACCAGCATGTTGAGTGAGGGAGGGAACTGGCTTACCCAGAGAAAACCCACAACTCTGTTTTTGTATCACCCATTTTTAGGTGTTTACCAAGAAAACTAGTGAGTCTGGAATAAAACCTGACATGGGTCAGAGCCTTTCACCACTCTGCTAATCTTAAACTTTAGTGGCTAGCATATAATAGGTAATGCAGCAATAGAATCCACTTATGTCTCCAGGTCAGGAGTCTCCGGTTTTATGTAAAGATCGCACAATCATATTACAAATACGGAGTCCCTTTTTCATATCGTTTACTATGTCAGAATGCGTCACTGAAGTTGGTTTGCTCTGTCTACACAGTGAAACTCGATTCTGCAAAAATGAAGTCTGGAAACTGTGGAATGTGCAAGATGATTATGGCGTATTTAGACAAAGTACTGGGACAAAATGCTACTCAGCAGAAAATTGAGGAAACGTTAGAGAAGATCTGCAACTTCTTACCGCCATCGGTATATGATGAGGTATAACACTTTTTTTGTAGATGTCTATAGAAAAAGCACTCAATGTATGTAGATGTGCTATGGTAGACTCTTACAATGCACATATGGCAAGACTTGCTTGCTGAATTCGACCAGTAAAGGGGGAAACTGCTGCAGCTTTTATTGTACTTGTCACAATTGTCCTTTAAGTGCAGGGTGAGGGAAAATATGGTCACGGGTACAGTATATGTACTCCTGTGACCCAAGGGGTAAAGCAAAATTTGTACTAGGGAACACTTGGTTAACAGGAGCATTTTGGACAGCAGGGGAGCATAGGCAAGTTCAAGATTACTGTGGCGGTTATAAACAAGTTGTTCCCATCCCTATGTGGTTATACTTGGGTGTAGTGCCACATTTGCATTTTCCTTCTATGTAATGTTGAGTATGTCGGGGAAATTGTCTACCATAAGTCTGTAAGGTGCTGGCAGACCTCCATTAACAGTTAAACTGCAGGACTGTCTTAAAGGGTTAAAGATCTTAAGGTCCAGGTGGTACACTGTATGTTCACTTAAGGGACAATTTTTTTTTTTTTATCTCCACACTGATCATAGCAGCTGCCTAGTGTCCTATGTATAAACTTGCTTCAAGAAACTAGAAGGGTAAGACCTATTTTATGCAGTCACATGTGCCTCGATAATCTCAAGCTATGGGTGGTCCCCACCCCCCATATATAGGTTTTGGAAGGAAGGGTACTTGCTGCGTTTATAACAAACTTATGCATTGGCTTTTAAAACTGTCCCCCTTCCTGGGCTTTTATATAGATCTATCCTCATGGGACCTGCAGGGTAAGAATGTAATTTACGGCTTTTATTTATACTGCCATTTTATACTCTAAACAGAAACCTCCATGTATCTGTAAAAAGAAATTGAGGTAACTGGACTTGCTGTAGTCTTGGAAGACTGTCCACTGGTCATCTGACCATCTTTCTTTGAGAGCTGGTTGGATGACCAATGAAACAAGAAAAATACAGCAAGTCCAGTTACCTTGCTTTATTTTACAGATATACCATGACCTGGATGACTGAGGACCTTCACCGACTGAAACCTCCATGATTCCTTGTGACACGCAGGCTGATTCAGAGTATAAAATGGCTTATGTCATTAAAAATGTATTTCTTTAAAAGCGCAGCACCCCTTCTCTTCTGCAACCCTGATGTGCATCTCTACAGATGCACGGCACATTCTTAGTTATGCCTCTCGGCTCTTGTACATTAACCCCTAGGATCCATAAAGTATATCTACTTTTGCAGTCACATTAAGGAAAAACCCCTCCCATTTATTTTGCTTAAAAAATAAAACCTTTTGTGAAGCCACAATCTGCATAATCTATACAAATATATAAACACATTTAACGTCAAAGCTGATAGTTATGGTGATACTTGTTGGAAAATCTTAAATAGAAAAAGTTATCAGATATAAGATCTCTTATGTTATATGCAGAAATGTTGGATAAACATTGGTTGCTGAATCCTATTCATGTCTTGTATTTGCAGTGCTACGCTGTGATTGGTGCTTATGGGCCAATGATCATGGATCTGCTGGTTAAAGAAATGGACCCAGGCTTGGTTTGTGTGGTAAGGATCTGTTCCGATACAAAACTATTTGTAATTTGTTTTTATGCTTGTTTATAGATCTCCTAGATATTGGTGGGTGACTTGGTACCTAGTTGGTGCTCACCTCCATAGCCTAACCCAGATGGGCACAGAATGAAGTTAACACTTGTAACTTGGGTGACTGTTAATAAGCCTGTGGGATGTAGATGACGCTTGTAGAAATGTTGTCTGATCTGTAGGGATCAATTGCTGCAGATAAGCCTCTACATTGACATGATGTACACTACATGTGTTTAACATTTACAATAACCTAAATAGTTGTAATTGTGTATTTCATGTGTACAGGACTGATTTAACTTGTTTTAATACATTTCCAAATACAGGAAATTGGTCTGTGCCCAGGTGTCAAAAAACCCCTTTTAGGAACTGAGAAATGTATGTGGGGTCCAAGCTACTGGTGCAAAGACTTGGAAACTGCAGGAAGTTGTAATGTAAGTTGACATCTCAATGTTTAAGTTTGCTAGAAAAGACCACTTTAAAATGTTTAGCCATATGGAGAAACAGGATGCAAGGGAAAATTCTCACTCTGATGGTCTGTGTCCGTGTAACTGGCTCCTGTCATAGGGACAAATTGCTGTCTGTCTTTTGAGATGTACTGAAGTAGCATTGCAGAGATTGATGATCAAACCTTTCTCTATTCTCCTAATACAAAAAGTTTGGTTTTTAGATGCATTTAAAAACTATGTATGTCACGCTTTAAATTTACATTAGCTTCCTGTCTAAATGCATGCACTCCAGTGATGGTGTCATGTAATTTCTCAAGGCTGGTTTCCTGGTGGTGACAACAGTGGACCAATGCCTGCACCAGGTCTTCCACTTGTCTCCACAGGAAGCGTCTGAGTAGTATAATGTGTATAGGTGAAAATATAGCTGCAATAAATGCAAAACAGATTACGGTAGTCATGCAGTTTAATATTTACAATTCAGTGTTTGTAAAGGGAACACATGAATTGGCTCACTATTTGAGCTTAAGTGAGGCTGTCTTTGCCATTGGATACAAAGCTTTTCAGACGGGAGCGGCCACTGAAATTGAACACAGCATCTCCTCAAGGATAGCTGAAGTGTATGAAATACGACCTGCTGTGTGTTTTTTGTTCTCTGGCTTGGTTTCATATTTTGGTCTTGGCAGTTGGCTTTTCCTATTGACTGACTGAAGATCTTTCTTTTTGTTTAGGCTATTGAGCACTGCAAACATCATGTTTGGAACTAGAGAAGACTTATTCTTGGAAGTGTGATGGACTGCACAGAATGGACCCCCACTTAAGATCGCACTATTCAAACCTGGAGAGAATATTTTTCTGTATGGATAGGTTGTACATATTTTTGTTCTGTAGAGAAATGTTCTGCACAAAAATTAGAGGATTCATTTTTTTTCCCCCTAGCTTTTCTTAAACTTTATTTTGTAAATTGTGCTTAATCCATAGAAGGGGGGTGTTATGTACAATGACTTAAATCGTAGATTCTGTAACTTTCTAGCTCTTTAAAACGCATGATTTCCTATCTGTTGCCAAGCTACTGAATTTTGCAGTTACCCAGAACATTCTTGTCACATTAAACCATGTGGGTTTTTTTTTGTAAAACTGAATCTAATGTCTTCAGGAGGAATCTTGCTTTCTGCAATGAGTACTTTTCTAACTGTATGTCCCCTGCCAAATGAGCTTCTGAAACAAAGGAGCAATTTAGAACTTGGTATCAAATCTATGGCCTTTTATAGGATCAGATAAAATTACAAACCATTAAAATTTGCCCAAAGTGTGAAATGGTGAAAAAAACGGGAGGCGACAAATCAAAAACCTCTCATGTTGAACTGAAGTTTGGTCACTTTAAGGGGCTTTCTCTATTTTAAGTGATATCATTTTTGCTTTGGTTGAGAGCAGCCACAGTTCATTGGAAACCATTTCACTTTGAGAAGAAAAGCAACGAGTGAACACAAATGGTTTCATAGCGGGGGGGGGCGGGGGGGGGCAAATGTTTTCCTTTTAGAAATGGGGCCCCTTTGAGTTTAGCATTTGCACACATGAACAGTTGAATGCTGTCAACATTGTTTGCCTTACTTTTGAAATGTTTTAACTTTGATCACAAGAAAAAAACCTAGTGACAGAGGGTCTAATGTACTAAACCCTAGACTTGAATTTGTGACAGTAAAAAATTTGACATGTGCTTTTTGCTAAAAAAAGCAATCAATAAAAAAACAATGTCCAAAAAACTTTGTCTCCAGTATCTTCACTAGACACTGATGTGGAGAGGTGTTGTATGCACAATAGGAATATTCTTTGAGACCAATTTTATCATTTGACCTTTTGAAGTCTGTTGCCCCAACATGACAGTGGTGGGCCATGTCCAAGGCACCAGCCTGTCACATGAAAGGTGAGGGAGTTGCATCTTCTCCCCATACCCAGAAGTGTTAGGTGCAAAATAAAATAACCATCTACTCTGTTCAGCCTTTGGGAAAATAGTAGATGCTGGTGAGAGGAAGGGGCAAAGTGAATTTTACTTTGCCCAACATGAGCAAATGTCCGAACTTGGTATAATACTGGTCCATGTATTAAGTAAACCTGTCATGAGGTAAATACAGGTGTTTAACCATTGCTGACCTCTTTATGAAAATACTAATTGCTGCTTGGCTGTTGTGCTAATTTAGTGGCTTTTAGCCTTTTTGTTTTTTTTGGTAGTTGCAGATCAGGGATTACTTGACTCTAAAAAAAAAAAAAAAAGCTTCCTGTGGCACAGCCTAAAGCTCATTACAGCTACTGGTGTGAAGAAAATTTGTAAGCATCAATGGCACAGGAAAATACAATGAAAGCAAGGAACAGAATCCCCTTACCTAATTTAAAATGCATAATAATGTACAAACATTATTTATTGTACTGTAACAAAAGAAAGAAACACAGCATGTCCCTCCTTCCAGAGCTAACCAGCTAAAAACACTGCTATCCCTATGACAAGGAAGCAGTTAACATGTAGCACCCCTCGCTATGCTATCAGCCTGGTGCCCAAGAAAGGGTGTGGGGGGTCATATCCTACCTACCTGGGCAGGAGTAGGAACTGAGATAAAAAAAACATTTGAAAAGTTGTGTGAACTCCAAGGAGGACCAGAAATTACAATTTCTGATGGCTATGCAGCTTTGGGGCCTTGCACTCCTATGCAAGGATTACATTCTACATGATCAGTCATCAAATTATTCTGTACATATTTATGGTAAACATGGCAGAGGTGTCCCCAGGCTGGGTGTCACCATTAGCAGCTGCCAGGACATCATGTGCACTTAAATCCATCTTGGTGATGGATGCCAGCACAGACAGGAGGGGACGTTTTATCCTTATCCCGCCGGGTACCCTCTCTCGTGCAGACTTTTCAGAGGGGGTGACGCAAATGACTTTCGGTGGCGTCATCACCCTTGTGACGCCACTGAACATGGCTACTTAAAGTGAACATGGCTACTTTAAAGAGTTACCTCCTAAATATGCAATCAAGTACCTTAACTAGTAAACAAATATCTTATTTGTGTATCACTAAGCTGTAGATGCTCAAATCATCTCTGAATTCATGCTGACATTTTCCTTCTGGAGGGTGGCTACTTTGTTCCTCGTGGTTCCTGTGTGTGTTGTAAAGTCACTGCTCCAAGCTCGCTCCTGTGATGACTACAATCTCAACACAAATTAGTAAACTAAACATGATGGTAGAGAATCATGGGAAGGAGCTTGGAACGATGGCTACTTTACAACACACACAGGGACCATGTAGAATAAAAGTAGCCACCCTCCAGAATGCAGGACAGCACCAATTCAGAGGAGAGTGATACACAAATAAGATACATTTTTGTTAATAATTTGGGTACTTGCATGCTTTTTTTTTTTTTTTAAATTTTTGGGTGTGTTTTTTTTTTTTTTTTTTTTTTTTTTTTTTTCTTCAAGGGTTTTTTTTTTCCATAATACATCATGTAAAAAAAGTACTAGATACAGTAAACACACCTATTGGTACATCACATATAAAAATATATAGATGCAGGGAAACCTGAGGTTAGAGAAGTCCCTCTCCACCCAAGGTCGCTCCCATTTGTATCTTGGCCACCAAACATCAACAAACTTCAACCTGAGCAACTAGACAGGTTTTAAATGGAATGACCTGGATCTAGGCACAGGATGCCACACCCCTGGAAAGTAGTATAGCAAAAAACAGAAAGCTGGGGTTTTTTGGGCAACCGACTGACAACTTTCAGACCAAACGTTATTTAGAAAAATATAGTTTTATTATAGTTTAAAAAAAGATGAAGATATTTTGATAAAATTGACAACATGATTTAGTTCTTCATAAGATTACGCTCAATAAAATTATAAAATGAGACAATTGGTTTACATGATAAACAGAAAATTCTTGGACAAAAGACATGATTGGTATGACAGAATAATGTTGGAGGCGCTTGGTTTTCTCAATGTGACGTTTCGTGCTGAATAGCGCTTCTTCAGGAGAAGGAGAGGGAAGTTGTCCTTGAAGTCTGTGTCCCAATGCTTCAACCCAGCTCAAACAGTAGGATGATAAGTATTGGAGCATGGAGAGGGGGGCAAAGGGAGAGGAAGGGTGGAGGCCCTGGACCCCAGCAGAGGCAGACCGAATCAAGAGAAGACGGAAATAACCAGTACTCAGATGGTTGAAAGTAAATTGAATATTGCAATCCCCAGTCAGAGCCGTAGGATGTCAGTCCCTCTCAATATCGAGCCCCCAGCAGCTTGCGCAGCAGAGGGACGGACATCCTACGGCTCTGACCGGGGATTGCAATATTCTTCAATTTACTTTCAACCATCTATGAGTACTGGTTATTCTGTCATCTCTTGATTCGGTCTGCCTCTGCTGGGGTCCAGGGCCTCCACCCTTCCTCTCCCTTTGCCCCCCTCTCCATGCTCCAATACTTATCATCCTACTGTTTGAGCTGGGTTGAAGCATTGGGACGCACACAGACTTCAAGGACAACTTCCCTCTCCTTCTCCTGAAGAAGCGCTATTCAGCACGAAACGTCACGTTGAGAAAACCAAGCGCCTCCAACATTATTCTGTCATACGAATCATGTCTTTTGTCCAAGAATTTTCTGTTTATCATGTAAACCAATTGTCTCATTTTATAATTTTATTGAGCGTAATCTTATGTATGAAGAACTAAATCATTGTGGAGTGAGCGTATAGGGGAATCATGTCAATTTTATCAAATTATCTTCATCTTTTTTTAAACTATATTAAATAAAACTATTTTCCTAAACGTTTGGTCTGAAAGTTTGTCAGTCGGTTGCCCAAAAAACCCCAGCTTTCTGTTTTTTGCTATACTGAGTAACTAAGACACTTGTAGGGGTGTCCAAGGATGGATGCATGCTTGTAGCGTTTCCCACTCACAGCAGCCCACACTGGGTAACGCCACATCAGAGGGGTTGACACAAATGACCAACAGTCAGCAAAAATGGTGACTACACAGGAAAATCAGCTGTAATTCTAAATGAATAAAGTGAGTATCATCACTTTTGTTTTTCAGCAAGTCTTATTCATGTGCTAAAATTCAATGCTAATTATAAATAACCAACGCAAAGTGGCAGCAATAAACGCGTATATACCTACAATTTATAGTACTGCAAAAATACAGACCAACACATTCAAAACGTAATGCCTAATAACGTTGCGATCCCCAATGTCAAGTAGCTAATAAAACGGTACAGCATTTTATATAAGAACATTATTCATACACTGACTAATCCCAGGATTTGTGTAATAGTAACTCTATCAGACCCTATTGTAACATGCTTTGCTCATATGAAAATAGTTTTACACAAAAAATGTTCTTCTAGATTGCTTTACTAAACCAGATATACTCATTTCATGAAATGAGTATGTCATCTATTGCAAACCACATGATCTTCCTAAGTAATTCTACCATATGATTCAGACACAAAACAGAAGTTATATGGAAACATTGCACACATGCAATATATGCAGATTAATAAAGGTATAATATAAACTATTACCCATTGTGACAAATAACCAGCTTTATAGCAAGGGAACAAATCAACAATTGCCAGAAGAAAATAAAGTGTTTGCAGCTTTCTCCCCAACCTACAGGATCCACTCCAGTGCATGCATAGATGTATACAATCCCTTTTCCAATCAGTTTACAACCAGCCAACAATCATGCCATTTTACAGTCGGAGTGTATTTGATTAGCCTATTAAGGGAACCTGTCAGGATATAAATCTTGTATCCCCCGCATGGGTGACTTATATTTGAAGATCTATAATTGTCACGCCTCTTTGTTTTTCTGCTTAGAGAATCAATGGGCCAAAACCTATTGCAGTGGCTGTAAAGGTGTCATGGGCCAGGTATACTAAGTAGCAAAGCAAAGATATTTATCCTGGCAGGTTAAAGA